ACTTTCGTGTAGTTTTTTTGTGTCACGATTTTATGTTGGACCCTCCGTCCAAAATTATTTAGAAATATTATTAACTTAGCAAGTATTTGTATTATTATCGTATAGGTATCGTGCAGACCTGGGCACATTTGAAATGATATTGTTTGAGATATTATTTCGAATAACACGTTATTTTATATTTGAATCATTTGAAATAATTGTGAAATTGTTCTTCAAAATTATATCAGGTAACTAGGTCTGAGTTTGGTTTATTAAGATTTTTCTGAAGAGTAACACCCTTCTACCATCTTCTACACTAGTGAACGATTATTTTGTTTCACGACAATATTGGATGAACTCAAGCAAAAATCACTGAGGGATGAGCTTTTGAAGAACCGGTTTTGCTTAAAGTAAATTGTTGTAAAGATTTCTTAAAATAAAATCTTTTTGTTGCATATTATTTTCAGTATTATTTCTTTTGCCAAATTTGAAATACAAAAATAACACAATAATTCATTATTTGACGTTGCTATTATTTCAAATGAATCGATAATATTCTTATTTTCAAATAAGAATATTGAAAATACTGTTTCGAAATACATTATTTTAAATAGTTCATTCTTATTTTCATTTCAAATAAAATTTGCTCAGGTCTGGTATCGTGATAGGTGTGCATAGAAATGTATTTTTGTTTGCTGTACAAATTTTTTGATACGAAGTTTTTTCAACATGCTCTGCCACCACTAGGAAGAAGTATTAGATTTAGCGAACTGAACGTCTGTAGTATAAATTATTCATATATTGGGGTAAAATATATGAAAAATATTTACATTCATGGTGTGGAATGTAAAATTAATGAGTGATTTGAATTTAAGTATAATATTCATATCAAAATTAATATCTGTGTCTATTTTTAAAATATACAGAATTAGAATACTTAGCAAATATACTCTTATATTGCTTCTTTTGTTCAGTAAATTCATAGTTATATGTATAATTACCATTTAGTTAAATCATTACGTTTCAGTAAACATTACATTGTCTCTTCTTTGTGAAGCAGAGGAGTATGTGTATTCACTATACTGTTAATATATTACATAAAGTCAATATAGTAAATAGATTCTTTTGAAATAGTGTCACTGTATCTATTCTGTCTTGTTCACCTTTATACCTCGTCGTGTGTAAGTATAATAATTTCTGCAATAATGATCCTAACAGGTTCCATTGAATATTTTCTATCAAAGGTACTGCATATTTCTATATCATTTTTTTACTTGAATACTTTTTATCACAGTTATTGTACATTTCTCTGCCATTTTCTATCATTTCTTATAGAGATGGACTACTTAATAGTTTACATGGGATTGTCATACTTGCGAAATTGATTTATAATTGAATCCAATAACCTGAACATGAATTGGATATTCGATCGATACATATGTATTACAAAATGTTTGCTGACTCGCCAGTGTCCAATTCATTTATAAAATTATATTAATCCATCTAAAGTATAATTAAACATATTCGATAATTATGCCCATCTCTGAACACAGTGCACGATGACGTACAGTCCAGAACAATGGTACCCGCAAGGAAATAAAGTAAACGAACTTATTGTTTATTTGCGTTATTCGACATTTCTTTTATCAAAGACAGTTATATGGGTCCGAGAAAATATAATTAAAAACAAGGTATGCTGAAAGCTCGTGAAGGCCAGTGGATCAGAAGAAAATTGGAAAGAAGAAATTATTGTGTCGGCGGTTATTCCATTGAACCAGACACAAAACGAACCTTTTTCTTGGCTGTATCGTACACATCAGTGATGTACAACAATTCCTTAATGGCATTCATGTTCTATTTTATAACCATATACGCTTAATGCACAATTAATTGATGTTGCATTGAATGCAATGAACGTAATAAAATAATTCCATAAGATAGAACATGATCAGTATTTAATTAAACTGTTAAGCAACAAAAATGTAATAATATGTTACAGTGGCGATAGCATTGATGCCGAGTATATGGGTTTTAATTGTATGAACATTTGAACAGAGTTTTGTGTTGTTTGTGATATTATAGAAAATTGCAAAAGTAACCCTGGTTCTTGATCACGTGAATGATGATCTTGGCTAGACGGAGGAAATGCAATGATAAACACCGGTTGATGTCCTTTAGGATTTCTTGTTTCGACACTCGAAAATCGTTTATTAAAATGGGGTTACATATTTTTCATTATACAGACAATATTTGTACACTCATGATTATTTAGAAAAATTCGATGTATTTTAAAAAGGCATGCTTTTAAAAATCGCTGAATTTCTATTGGTACAAGTTAAAGTGTAATATACGCACAAAAATGTTATACTGGTTAGACAACGAAGGTTTTTGCAGCGAATAATTTTATCTACCGCATTGTATAAGGGTGTTTCACTGACTTCGATTATACGGAGATTTTCGTAGACACTGTAATGCGTAATATATAGTTAATAGCATGACGTTCATAATCCATCATTTTGCATAGAAAAGATATAAAGCTTACGTTAGAAATATGAATGTGGTACGATGCAAGGTACCTACTTTAATGAAAATATGCATGCTTCGAAAATACATACATATTAATGCGAATAAATTTCCGCCTTACTTCGTTTTTGATATCTAAAATCGTAGAAGTATGATTGCTTTGTAAATTAAGAAAAGCAGAAATTTTTTCGTTAAACAATGAAATTTAAGTAACCATAAAGAAGTTTGTCCATGATGAAAAGTAAATAAATTCAAGCTTCAGGATAATATGTACACATATATACCAAAGTTATTCATGCCTAATTTTAAACTTAATATCGTTTGTATACTATGCATTTTTCCCGTTAACCCTCTCATTCCTAAATTATTTAAGAATTACCAAAACAATATGTTTATTCTATTACCAAAGAAACTGTTTAATACTGTTTTTTCATTCGTAGCTATTTGGCAACTTTGTCAATTTTATTACAGTTTTATTTAATAATTCCCATTATAACGTTATTATACATACTAAAATTTGATTTTTCTTACCTCTGATCAATAAACCCTTTTGAAACGTGCTAAAGAAATTAGAGTTTTGTTAATTTCTACTATATTTGTAACAATGCTGAACACCTGAATTCCATCAAAGGAAGGAGACAGAGGACAAATAGTTTGATTCGATACTAGACAATCTCTTAGTTTACCGATAAACTTTTAAATGCACATTTAAATCTGTGCTATACCATCTATACAAGACTAGAAGAGACAATTATATACTCACAGATATGAAAAAATGCATTATACTGATATTTTATTTCATAATATAAAATACGTAGCCATATAGCAACAGTGGGAAAGAAAGGGTTATCAATTATGTAACATGTATATATTCATATACGCTAAAATATTTTCTTCTGAAAGAAAAATAATCACGCTACAATAATTCCATGTAAGACACTCTGTAATATTTTCTGTGAATAGTACCATAAAATTTGTACGTGAATACAAAGCAAGTTATACGAAAATCACAAATACATTGTTGGATAGAAGTCCGGAAATCCGATTTTTAATATTGTTATTATTTTATTGTTCATTGCTTGAATATTGCTTCATAAAAACTTTAAGGAACCAACATACCAATATCCAATGCATATAGCTTACGCAGGGTTTTCTCGCTGACCTTGTATGACCTTCAAGGTCATTGTATAGCATATGGATGATCTCTTCTTGAAACACGGTTTCATGTGATATAAAAAAGTATACATATACCATTCCATTTAAAAAATGAAATGTTACATGCGTTTCTCCAAAAATATTGCAAATGTAAAACATGGATACACGCTATTATATTGGTCATAGAAAACTGCAAAACTTTGTTTTCTTTCGTTTTTCTCTAGTATTTACTATTTTCAAGAAAAATAGGGGCCAGTAATAGCGTGGATACCATGTGCAACTGCTTTATTACGCTACAAGCGCGATTAAAAAACTCCCACATGTTTTGAATTTATAACAGATCCAATAGTAAACGTAACATATTGCAAACTTAAATTTTGAAACCTGCTCTCACATGGTTGAGCTACAGTGTAACTCCACTGAAAAAGTTTCTGTGTCCAAGTTAATGAAACACCCTACAAACGGAGGTGCTTCTCATTTTTAATGTTAAGATCTTTAATACGATAAAACAGGTGTGAAATAAACCATCTAGAAAGGTTGTATCAGATAGGTTGTATCAAACGTAACGTAAACTCGCCTTAACCATCGAACGCGAGTTGTTCATCACTGGTGCTCGCTATCATGCATCTCCAATCGTAGCTATCAGAAATGCGGCTGGTGCCTAGAATTATACATTACGCGAATAGAATATTCTGCGATCCACTACACATACATAGTTTGCTCGCTCTTGTTCGTTCCGCCTTATCGACGAGTATCCCGTCACAAATCGCTTCTGCATGAGTGGAATGAGTCTGCCTTTTTATACTTTCCGTATAAGAGTTGCGTGCGGAACACAGACGTTCGATCTTACGCGACAGCCTTCACCAAAAAAGCTCTTTTACGATCGAATCGAGCAGTTCGACATCGCACCGTGTCGATCTTCGAAGGCAAATCACGTTTCTGTTCGCTCGTAAACTCACTGCGATCTTTGTCCATAGTATGTATAATAACTGGACTGCGCATTTGGCTGCAAGGTCGTCAAATATTCGAAAAAGATAGTGCGCTCTTGGGTTACCATTCCGTCTTCGTCTGACAATCATTCCTTTTCATTTCCCTTACTTCTCTTTTTCCCAGACAATGAGGATTACCGACAATTACCGTATCGCGTGTTATTGAAAAGACAGGTTGGTGACCACCATACATCAGCTATCTGTTTTTAACTTTTGACATGGCCTGACAGCGGGAGACATTGAAACCGCGGCGCAATCTAGATATTATACGTTTATGTCTTTGTATCAGTATCACTCGGCGATAATTGTCACTTGGAATGGCCCGCGTCTGATCTTACGTTTCCTCTATTGTAGGAGCAAATCGCGAAAGAGAAGCAGGTGTCGGGCCGTGTCCAGATTCAGATTTCGTACGAGGCAGACCGTAAGGAGCTGATCGTCACCGTTTTTATGGCGGATGATCTATGCCCGCGAGAAGACACGGGCTATGGCGCGCTACCGGAAGCGTATGCTAAATTGGTTCTTCTCCCGATATGGTAAGATTCCGTTTTAACATTCATAGCGATTCCTTTTATATAATATACAGTGAACTCTTGATATATTGCCGCGGCCGAGGCTGTGGTAGTGTAAAATCCTCGGAAGCTGCAATAGATCGCGAGCCCCCTCCATGCTAGGTTCTACAGTCGTGGCCCCTAGCCTCAGCGCCTGCGCAAATGCTGAATCATACTGGTGAGGATGGCGTACGCGACGTGGCGGGAGAGCGAATTTGTGGGTGTAAAAGTACGTGTGGAGGGGAAGTGCTTCGCGTGGCAATATATCAAAGGTCCACTATAATCAGATTTATGTTTCAACGAAAATTGAAACTGTTCATCTCTGCTTACAAGGGAACATCGTCACAGCGAACATTCTTTTTTTGTTCAAATGGATGTGTGGGGAATTAAAGTAGTTTTTTCGTTTTTGCTAAAAAATGGTTTGAACGGGTGAAACAGCACCTACAAGATTGAAAACGCACTTTTTACGATTACTTGTAAAGTAATCATTGTATTAAAGAATGTTTGAACCGAAAATTGCTCCGCTTTTAATGTAAAAAATGTGTTACCTTCGGTTTTCAAAAAAATCTCCCTGTTTAAGAATATTTAAATTTTTTTAGGTTATTGGAATAACATTATACATCGCTATGTAACTATAATGATATTCCATTAATTTAAAAAGAAATAAAAAATTATTGAAGTGGGAGGTTTGTTTTTAAAAACAACAGATAACACACTTTTTTATGCACCCATACAATTCTATGTTAAAAACAGCTACTGTCGTTTCAAACATTCTTCTAATAGTAAAAAGTATATTTCGAGTGTCGAACTTTGTGGGGTTGTTTCACCCCTTCAAACCGTTTTTTATCCAAAACAAAAAGATATGTATTGAATAGTTTTTAATCCTCTACAAATTCATATCGGTTTCAATGAAAAGACATTTTCGCTCGGAGAACGTTTCCGTGATAGTGAAACAGCATCCAGGTAGCAAATTTAATTTGTTTATTATATTGCAATGAAGTAATGACATAACATTTCTGATCTTAATTCAGTAAAATTTAGATGTACGAATTACCATTGTTCTTTAAAATTAACTACGGATAACGATTAATTTTATGAAACCACCACGCTTGTCCTAACAAAACACACTGCCTACTTTAATATTTTGGCAGATTCTTTAATTCGAAATAACTAGTGCACATGAAATGGTATTTCACAAAACATATATGTGCTGACCGAGAAGTGGAATATGATAAATCAATAAAACTGCTGCGTCAATCGAGTGAGAGATACGCAAAAATGCTATAGGTTCAATAAATTCACATTATTTTCGTGCAATGTTAACACCTAGTTATATTTTTACTAAAAAATTCATCCGAGAATTAAACACCCCATTGACCGATTTCAAATGTTACAATCAGGGACTTAAACCGGTATGATTTTGATACCGGTATTATGCCATCAAAGCTATACTGAAACCGATACATTATCGAAAACCGAAATAAATACCGGTATTTTTCCGATTTCTATAGAGGTAGGGCTTATACATAATAAGGGTTATAAAGGGGGAAAATACAACCGAAAATACCGGTATAATACCGGTATAATACCGGTATTTTACGTTTCGGTAGAAGTCCCTGGCTACAATATACAATGATCTTCTAATTGTGTTGGGCAGTTCAGTTAGAAATAGTGGAAATCATTTTTTCCATTGAAAATTTAAGGGAATCGTGAATTTATTTAATAGAATATGGTACTTTTGATCTTATAGTATTGTAGCTATTGTAGCTAACTTGAAAACGGATTTAATAATCTGCGACTAATACCAAAATTGTTTTCAATATTACTTAACAGGAAAACATACCAGAAGATGCATTTGATAATCTGTACACTATGGATAAATATTTTCGTACATACAGTACCTATCGTTCAGAATTATTCGAACGATATGACTTTTGGAGTTTATGACAATATTTGGACTGAGGTGTACCTATATTTGGTGGGTTTAGCCAATGTTGTGTATTATTTAGGGAACTAACTGCTACTTTTCTTATCACAGATGTAAATTTTCTGTGTAACACTCTTCTATTGGTTCACTATATTGTACTGTACAATTAGCTTTTTAAAAATAGAATTGGCAAATAATAATAACAACTATCCAAGGGGATTTGCTAACACCAAATCTAATTACAGTAAATCTTCGACGAGTGTTCGAAGGCTCTTCCTCACTGAACATTATATATTTCATAAACTACTGGCCATATACGACTGAAACAAATATCATTAGCTTCAGAATTCCAAGCTCTACCACTGTGCTAAACCTCATTTAAAAGTCAGCGTTACACGCGGGGACCTCTCCTTATCAGTGTCGAGGAGCCTTCGAACACTTATCGAGGAGTTACTGTAGCATTATTTAAGAATTTTGTATAGAGTAGCAAAGTAGTTTATTAAATCCATTTATCTACTTCTCCATTTTCCAGTATATAGTATCTTTAGATCTATTTCAAGTATAATACATGAATATAATTTATCAATACAAGAAAGTGAATAATAAGGATTAATAAAACAAATTTTTATTAAACAATTCAAGTGTACATTTTAATTATTTATACTGATTATTTATTAAATAGTAATTTAATTGACTGATGTTAGTAGGAGTCGATTATGGTAACTGTTTCGTAATATTTATTAATTATGTGTATTTGTATATGAATTTGCAGCGCTGATCAGACCACTTTGAAAACTGCGGTCGCCGAGCCGAGTCAAAAACCCATTTGGAACGCGACGTTACTCTTTTCCGGGGTTGACGGGGAGAGCTTAATGAAGCGCGCAATTGAAGTGACTCTCTGGGACTTCTGTCCGGATCTTGATAACGTTTTCCTCGGCGAATGCAGCGTTGAGTTGCAGCGAGCCCTCGAGAACGATAGAGCTGTTTGGTAAGTATAATATTTATACTATATCGGAAATCTAATGCAAACATTTCGTTAAGGAATTATGAATCCTCGTTTATTGTATTCTATTGTATAATAATTGAGGGGCTCGTAACAAAAACGACCCCTGTCAAATATTTTTTTTTTTACAATAACAACATAAAAAAGTAGTCAGAAGTGAAACTCAAGATGGTGGAACAATAAAAAACAACCTATGTCCTGATTTATTCTGAAAGGAAATTAGATCGATTTCTGAGATTCTTGAAGATGCTAGAGTAGTTTTTATTCCTCTGGAAAAAAATTGATAAGGGTCGTTTTTGTTATGAGTCGATTACTTTATTTCAATATATGTATTCGTACAATTTACATGTAAACAGAAAAACCATATAAAAACAAGGACAGACGTAGAATTCCAAAAAAGGAATGCTATTTTCTAAGTAAATAAGTACTGTAATTTTTATCACGATGAAATTATTTTCTAGTTTACTTGCATAATATATTTACACGCCTCGAAAGGTATGTTAGCAACCAACCGTATTTAATATAATATTTCGTGAAAATAATGCTACAATAAATGCTGAACACGCTAGTAAATCTTCAATAAATGACAGAGAAACATAAGAACGTCTTGTCTCACAGTAATAGGATATCCATCAATGTTTTTAAATTCAAGCAGTCTAGTGGGAGCGTTAACTTATTTTTCGAGACGACTGTAGCCACATGAACTGTGACCATAAAAATACTTTTCCCCATGTCATGAATGAATAGACTGGTCCTTTCATGCGCATTTCTTTCGCAGGTGATTTTAGAAACGCTTTTTTTCGATAATTATAATAAATTTAAAAGTTCATTCATAAAAATGTTTCGTTGAAATTAAAAAAAAAATGGTTGCTCTTATTTATAACTTTTTATTTATTTTCAGAAATACTGATGGTTATAATTAGACTGCGGATTTTATGCATTTCTAGCCTATAGAGCTGTGTGAAATACAATAAAAAACAAAACTTTCATACGATCCAACGAGTTTTTTATTTTATTCTGAACTCAATAAGATGCTTAAGAGGGAAAATAAATTTCTACCATTGCTCCTGTCTTTATAAATTACTTTAGAAACTTTTATTTTGCATAACAATCCGCAGTCTAGTTATAATCCTTGAACGGGTGTATACATGCATTAAATGTTGTTTGTGTTTTCTCTTTTATAAACCACATTTAATGAAAATAATGAAAAGTACCTTTACGAATAAAAAACTATTTGTGACTTTCAACGTACAGCATTACAGGTATTACTGTTGAGGTTTTCTGGTGTAAATTATGTCCTTTTGGAAAAATTATCCCTACTGTTTGCAAGCACTGTAGCTAAATTCAATAGAAGTCGAATAACACATTGATATTGACGTGTGTAGTGCGGTGGTTCAGTGTTAAAGCGTACCCTTCTCATGTTCCTCTTTAAAAGTCGTCAACCGGAGATCTTAATTGGTCTACTGAACACATAAAAATTTAGGAGTAGGAAGCTCGAAATTTGGTTAAAATGATTGTCTATGTCTCTGTTAATTAATAGCGGTAACAACATTCATGAATACAGTAATACAATTGATTGGACGTTTCTCTGAACTGTGTGGAGAGAAGTAGACTTACCCTTGTTTTGAGTATGACTTTTGCCGCATTCATGGGAACCTTATGGCCTGCCGTCATTGATTTTCAAACATGTTTGTTAGTATTTCAAGAAGTATTTAAATACACTTGGCACTATGTGTATAAAAGTATAATTAACTAATACGGTAATAAAATTAATTGGACATTTTCCTGAATTGTCTAGGGAAAAGTAGATTTACCTTTTCTTCAATTATCCCTTTTACCTCGTTAAAGAGAATCTTTCGTATTGGCAAGTATGGTCAAACTAAAGAATAGTACAAAAATATAAATACATTGTTCTTTTTTTGATACCCGAACAAGCTTTTGTCTGCATATTGGACGGCTATAATACAAATGAATATACTACATTCCAGAAAGAGAACTACTTATTTTCTCCGACATATCCGTCACTTGAACTGTATAAAATCGAAAATTGTACACCCATGGTATTCATTTGCGCAAAAAATTTAAATGAACGTAAAAAAATTTTGTGAAAATATAGAGATAATATTATCCGCAGGTATCGTCTGGAGGATCCACGAGGGTTGCGCGCAAGCAAGTCACCGTTCTGCTCCCCCCGTGGTTCTCTCTCAATGGAAATTGCCCAAAGGTTGCTACGAAAAACGGAGCTGCGCGAAAGAAGTTACAGCGACGATACACAAAGCGACAGCGGAAGTCCCGAGCTGAGCTTCCTGCACCCGAACCACGCTTGGCACGCAAATTCTAGAAGAGGTTCCAGTCAATCCGAGCAACTGGAAGTCGAACCCTATGAACTTAACAGAGACTACAGTAGATCCTTGCCCGGCAGCCGAAGGAGCAGTTTCCAGAGCCAGGGTGGCACCGATAGTAAACGTAAATACATCTACATATAGGCGATTTTTAAAAACCTGGAATATTCTTTTGTACCAGAGAAAGTCTATAACACTGTTCAACAAATTTGAACTTTTTTTCGTTTTTGTAACCTCTAATAAGCGTTGCTGATAAATCTTCATGAGGTGAATACGAATCTGCAAATCGTTTCTTTCCAGCACGTATAGTTTTTGAAAAGATACGTTTTTTTTTAAAATTGCAAATTTTCAAAATTGGAACTGTGTTGTTCTTTTACAGTAATAGTTATGCAATTTCTTTTGACACGAAATAATTCTCTGGACTCTTCAGAACTTAATGATATAAGTTATTATTATATTATAGACATCTAAATATGTTTAAATAATGTTGCAAGTGAAAAGGACGCCGAAAACGCACCACTTTTTGCTAATATTCTTTAATTCCTTTCAAAAACTAAAGGTTTAGGAGCACATATAATCATAGCACGGGATAGAGCAGACCTTTCTGCTCCGGAAAGTGTCAAGGAAAGTTACAAAATCTGTTTTGTTTTAAATTCGGAAGCGAAATAGTTCAGCAAAACACGCGGCGTCGACAGTGCTGACCGTGCGCGCTCAGTGCTTCCGTTACGCTGAGCGGCAGGCAAGGCGACCGCCGTCATTGAGTAACACTGTCGCCTATGAACATAACGTCAAGGTATACAGGGGAACCCACCAAAAGATCGAACACCTAAATGTCTTCTTTATTTTTAATGATATGAGTAATGTTTCAAACAGAATTAAATGATTTCAGAGGGGAAGTATCGTACGTGGATCATTTTTTTCTTGATAATTTTTTTCAATATTTTGTTAGGTCTCTGGTATTTTTTTTCAGACAGCGTGTACCTTTTTTTTATTGCATCATGTAGCACGTTTTGAAGTATATTGAAATATGTCTAATTAAGGTGAACTTGGACGTTGAAAAAATGACAGTTGATATATGTATATTCATGAATTCTTTATTCCACCTGTAGATAATCAAACTTGATTCTTGTCGTTAATTTGCATATTTTAGTAATATTTCCATAATATCGTCTTGTAATTTAAGAATCTTTTACGACTATGAAGTTTCTCGTTTCGAATTTATGCAATCCAATTTCGTAAAACTTGACAATTAGCGAAAAGATTAATCTTAACGAAGTTAATCGAAGTCCTCGTCTGTTTTTTAAAGCTGCTTATCGCTGGCCAGATTCCATTAATATGCAAATTCAATTTTTTATTTCGTCAGAAATCGCTTCTGTAGCCAGTACGTGGTATACTATACATATAGACCTACAAGGACAGGACCGTTTGAATTCTGCTTGCTTAACTTTAACTATACGTATACCCACTGAAAACCGGGTCTGGGTTGAAAATTAAACTTCCAGCCGGTCCATATATCACCGTGGAAATTTTAGATTACTCACGGCATTTATCTGCGTTCTCGTTCTTTTCCTCCTACGGATTGATTTCATTTTACAATATCCTCAAAGCAGCCCCTTGGACTCTGTGATTAATTTCTGTTAACTCTATTTCTGAACATACTTTGTGAATGATCCTTTCTTGATGTTAATCAATTCCTCAATAAAAGGCATACTTCTGTGCTTATTGTGTGTTTCTAAAAATAAGTCTATAAAACTGTAACTTTACACAAACATCCATAGTCTATGTGTTGAGTATTTAACAAAATTTATGAAAGTGTTCCATGAAGTAAATAATAGATATGACTTGTTGTCAAGTTTCTGAATACTTAAATTTGTACTTTGTATAAAAACTGACTACGCGGAACCGAGGCATTCACACTTATCAAGACATTACTGTAATTCTTCGAGCCATGTTTCTCAGGACTTCCTTTTCATCATTTGGCGACTACTTATACCTTAGAAGTTATGAACCCTTTTGTATGGATTCTCCTTCGAATCCGCCTGGAGTTGTAAATTCCAGGGTCGACCGTCGTGGTACGCGTACAGTTGCGACTGTTGCCCGCTAAATTAATATTAGGCAACTGTTTCAATATTCAGAATGCTATACTTCGGTTTTGTTCTTCCACACCTGGAATACGCATCAACTATCTGGTCCCCATGTTACGATAACCATAAAAAACGACTAGAGGTTGTTCAGCACAGATTTCTTATGTATGCTGCCTATAAACACAGTCAACCGATGTCTACCACCAATTATGACTACACTGATATTATGCTCTCACTAAATATGACTACCTTAGAAGATAGAAGGATTGTCCTTAACCTAACCTATTTTCATAAAATACTCAACGGGCAAATATACTGTCCGAATATACTTGTGAGTATTAACATCAATGCTCCAATGAGAACGATTAGACACCCTCCAACATTCACACCGTTACTATATACTTCTACATTTGATCATACCGACGTCATCACCAGATTATCAAACTTAGCTAATAAATTCTGTAACACCATAAATTTCTTTGTTGACTCTACATCATCTTTTAAATTAAATGTACAGAAAGCTCTCCGAGGCGGTTTAGACATTTAAGCAACTTGTAGATTAATTATATATACTGCAACATGTGACCTATGTAAACAACTTATAGAAACAGTGGGGCCAACCAGTTTATAAATAAATAAATAAATAAATAAATATTCTCTAAGCGAGAATAACCAATATAATTGCTCGACCGGTGGAGCTGACGAATCGTGAGGTGAATGTTGTCGAATGAATGTTTTCGAATGAATGTTCAAGTACGAGTGTATATTTTCGAATGCGAATGTATGTTCGAGTGCGAATGCATGTTCGAGTGCGAATGTATGTTCGAGTACGAGTGTATGTTTTCGAATGCCTGTTGAGTTTCGTGTGACTGTTGTCGAATGAATGTTCGAGTACGAAATAAAGTTCGAGTACGAGTATGTATATGTTTTCGAATGAATTGAGTCCGTGTGACTCTTGTCAATACGAGTGTTTGCAAATGACTGTATACGAATACTTGACTCCGCGTGACTCTTGTCGAAACGAGTACGTGTTTTCGAATGACTGTTGTCGAATGAATGTTCGAGTACGAGTTAATGTTCTGAGTACGAGTATATGTTTTCAAATTAATTGAGTCCGTGTGACTCTTGTCGATACGAGTGTTTGCGAATGACTGTATACGAATATTTGAGTCCGCGTGACTCTTGTCGAAACGAATACGTGTTTTCGAATGACTGTTGTCGAATGAATGTTCGAGTGCGAATGTATGTTTTCGAATGCCTGTCGAGTTTCGTGTGATGTCGCGCTTCCTCCAAGTTCGCTGAAGGCGTTACCAAAATTCGCTTGCTTATTGGTTATGCCCTGAAGGGGAAGGCCAATTCCTGGGTTTTCCAAAAGACGTGGAGGTGGAAAACCTCTCCTTCAGGACGAAGCGGGCGCCAGAAAAATATCGTGCAAGTGGTCACGGTGCGACTCGACCGCGACGAAATTTCGAGTCTCCCAACGGTATGGTTTATGGCAGTATTGTCTGCAAGTCAGCGGGCCCCGGTAAGGCCCGGCGCAGATGGGTCCCAGGTTACCCTGCGCATGTGGCGAACTGCAGACCAAATGTTCGAGTCTTTTGACTATTATTCTCTTTGTGAACGAAGTTAAATTGCAAGGACTCGTTGCGAAAATGTATAAACTGTCCGGACGAAGGAATTAAAATAATCATAAATAATGGTATCGTCTGACTCTATAGCCGTCGTTTCGGTCTACGACGGAACAGTCACCCTGTACAGAAAATAACATGGGAGTTTGCGGACTCTCTGTATAAAAAAAAATTGACATAGAATTAATAAGACGATGACCTTTCGTTCGACAGGCGGAAGCATGGGAGAAACCGACATGCCGACCATAGTGCACTATCATCGTGATCGACGGCGAAGTTCGATCAGCAGGCCAATGAGAGACGCGGAAGAATTTCTAGAAGATTTGCGGATCCACGGTCAACGCATAAAGGCGGCAAAAGGGGAACTCGGCAGGACGATGAGTCTCTCAGGAGACAAAAGACGCGAGAGCCGTGAGTAGATTCTAACGTCGCTTCTTTGGGCTATCATATTTCGAACAAAAGACCATATCCGCTGATCCGTTTCGTCGGTTCGTTCATCCATTCATGCAATTGTTTGCCTGTCTGTCTGTTTGTCTTTCACGCGCTCGTCGACTTTTGTATCCTTTTTCTCGTCACATATATTCTCTCTCACCACCACTGTTTTTTCCGATCGTTGGATCGTCGCTCCGTTCGATCCATCATCGTCCACCAGCCAATCAGCGGATCGAATCCTCATCGTCGGCCGATCCCGTGCGTAACGTCCGCATGTCAATAAATGTGTCTGCACGGACGTACATGTATACACGTAGAGGTGAATTGAATGGAGAAGAAGATATCGAAATTAATCGATCGTGAGTTTAAGTAACGGGTTTAATGATCGCACTAGGCACACCAAGAGCAATGATTTCGTACTGGCAAGGGAAGGAACCAAACTGTCCGACTTCGATTTTAACTGCGTTTTGTTCGACGACAGTATACAGGTTCCTAATGCTGCTTAATAATTTTAAAGATATAAACATTTGAAATTATGTAGCTTTAAGATATATTGTGAACATAAGTCAAACTTATCGAACAATAAACGTTGTTTGTCTGGCGAATCGGAGGTCCTGGGATCGATTTCCGTTCATCGAAATATTTTTGTTTTACTTTACCAACTCCATTTCGCTAACTCTGACTTATATTCATAGTACAGTAAAGGCTCCATGAGAGTTTGAAACTCGGGACTGCTTCATAACTATCATTGTGCAGCGGGAATCGTTTCAACACCTCACAAATCTATTTTTTACCCGAAGCCTAAACCTTGACAACGAAAACGGAGGGGCGAGGGGGAGGGCTGTAAATTATGCGCTCGACAGGTTCTACAGGCCCCTTCCCCCTCCCCCCTAGTGATGGGAATGGAGTAGAAACTCATACTGGGAACTTCCGATCCAACTCTCACAGAAGCTTTACTGTATCTATATGTACCTCGATGAATTGTAACTTTAATCTTTAAAATTATCGAGTGTTTACATTTAATATTTTACATGTATCATTAGGAACATATACAGGGTGTAACAAAAATGTTGTCCGACCAGAAAATGGAGCACTCGGGGGGTGAATTGGAACAAGTTTTTCCTTAGCAACAATGTAATCTGAGGCTTCGTTACCGAGATATTAACGAAAAACTCCGACCAATCAGAGCGCGAGTTTGCCAGCTGAGTTCCCGTGCTAGCGGTAGCTACGCGTTGCGATTTGTAGCCAACGCTACCACGGGAACTCGGCTGGCAAACTCGCGCTCTGATTGGTCGGGGTTTTTCGTTAATATCTCGGTAACGAAGCCTCAGATTAGATTCTTGCTAAGGAAAAACTTGTTCCAATTCACCCCTCGAGTGCCCCATTTCCGGGTCGGACAACATTTTTGTTACACCCTGTATACTACATCATACAAAACTCCGTTAAAATCAAAGTCCTTCCCTTGTGAGAAACGTAATATTTGAAAAAGTAACAGCTGTAGCGAATGTAGAAAAATTTGATTATCTTTTTGTTTCTCTATTTATAACACTGTTTTAAATTAATGCACTTCTGTTTTAGCGAATGTGAAAATACACATGTACACTGTATGTGTGTAGGTCCGTACCATTTCTATGCATTTTTTTGTACATTCTTTCACGCACCGTCATTCATAAAGCCTTTCAGAATCTTACTACTCACGTGCATCATGGTGCAATGTCATGCCTTCTTTTTCTCTGTCGATTTTCTCACTTTACGTGTCTCTATTTGTTTCTCCACCTTCCTATTTTCCGTGTGTCTACGTGTGCAATCAAATCTCATCGATCTCGAGCGATTTGACCGAGCGAACGCTTCGAGTATCCTGCGAATTATTTTGCCCCCGTATCAGCCACCCCGCTGTAGAGTTTCGAGACGTTGATTCAGCCGGAAACGGGTTGCCCTGGAAGGGAGGATCGTATTCCTTGATGTTTCGCTGCAAAAAAAAAAAATCGATCGAATTTCGAATAATTCAGAGATACGAGTCAAACTTAATCTACAGATACGATGATTTTATTATGTATCGGTCGTTTCACTATTTATTTTGCTCTAATTCTTCGATGTTTACGATATGTCTTCGGCATTGGAGTATTAAAACCCGACGATCGGACATCTGACGACGTGAATGAATATGTTCATCGGAAATTTAAAAAGAATGGAATTAGATCAAGATTTATCTTTGGTTTGTTCGAGGTTTATTACAGTGACCTTGATTGCATAGAAATTGGATTCTACATTTCAGAACCATATTTTATTGAGCTAACAGTCAGTGTTCTGCTTCTGTTCTTAATTTTATTTCAAATGAGGATTTATAATAAAATATTCTTAAATAGTTACCAGCTGGTTGACGGTATTTTTCTCCTTATATCTTAAGTGACCAGTTATTATTACTGGTTCCATTTTGAATTAAAACAAGTTTCATAGAAAGGTGTCAGTAGTCAGTCAGATAATCTGTCACGAATAAATATATTGATAAGATATGGCAAAAATTTCATAACAGACATAACATTTTTCACCTAGTGGTAGCATATTCGCTTTTAACGTTAGGTTCGGATCTTAATTAAGAATTATTTGTTTTTTTAATATAGTACTACCCATGACTAAGAGTGTTTGATAAAATTTACTAAATGTCTGTTATTGTTACATTTGTTGAATATAAAAGTTGTTTAATTAATAGTAAAAGAAATATTCATATATAAGCAAAATATGACTATGAAAGTAAATATCTTTGTTTTGTTACAAAATACGAAATCAGAAAATAACATATTGACTGGAGGAAAATATTTAATCATCTCTGAGCGTTGAAAAGAGTTTCCAACGTCTTTTGTTCGATTCGTTTATGAATGCTAGAAAATTAAGAATACTTTGTACTATTACTGATACAATTTTGTTTAATTATCATTCTAGTTTGACTAAGAGATGCATTTGTTTCCAGACTTTCGATTTGCTTATTCGTTACATTACAATGTGTCGTTCTATCTGAACTTTTTATAAAGCAAACTGTTCATTTTATACATCTCGGATTGTCCGTATGAGTAACGAACTAAACACTCGAATGCTTAATCCAAAACATCGAATGAATTCCATAGCATTCAGTTCCGCAGAATATATTTTCGCTAATCGTTTATCTCGAACCAAAGATAAATCTTTCACGTGCCTAGTGACAACTCGGGTTCCCCCGAAGCAATCGTCTGTTAGGAGCGAACTCGTCGTTAAGTATGGAGAATATACGATCGAACGAAATCGAACCAGATGCCTCGCGTTCGAACATGGAGAAATCGCATCATCCTGTCTCTGTCTGTCTGTCTGTCTATTCATGAAGACGCTGGGCATTCTCCCAAAAGATCACTCGTTGCAATAAGTATGTGCTCTTTGCTCATCTCTGTGCGATCGCTGTTGCGCCGCTGTTGCCTGTCGCTCAGTACTCGTTTCCGCCTATGCCAGCCTGTGAGACACGAACGACCCCGACATCCAAGACCGTGACCAAAAGTGATTGGCAAACACGATAATCGTACCGAAATACTATACAAAAATATATAAATGGACAAAATAGACAAAATAGACGGAATAGACAAAACCAAAGCGACGGAGACGAGAAGCAATTGCCAAGGAAGATATAAATCTTGGTTTCTCCTCTCCTGCTGTAGCTACTGAACGTACCACGCGCCTAAACCAAACGACACCGTCATCTCCGTCTGTCGTCTTCCCCAAAAGAAAACACAAAATACTAAACCCAGGCCTCTGTTCGCATCGATACACACGCCAATAGTGCCAAAAAGCTATGCCGCTGATCGTTTACTCCACCATTGAGTGTGTATATACGTCTTCTCTCATGACCCGCGCCGCAACGAAGACAGTGTCACCACAAGTGTCTGCTCTTTTGCAATTTGTCTCTCTGTTGATTTCTTTTGTTACTTGATCTCCTTTCTCGGTCGGCACCGTCCGGCAATCTTTCGCACGCTAACGGTCGATCAAAATGCTCGGTTCGCTCGGTCGAAACGCCATTCGGCCCATCGTCACGAACCCCAACCCTATTCAACGACGAATCGTGGGCTCGATCGACCGACCAAACCACCACCACCACCACCATCCATCGATCAACGACAACAGCGTGCGTAGTCCCAACGGTTACTGTGTGGCAGTGCGAGCCTGTATCTCCGAGGACCGGTAACTCGGCCTCCTTCCCACTGCCGCACTTCATACCACCTCGATAAATAACCACAGGACACTGTGGACCACCGTCACGGGCACTCCGGTAAGACAGAGTTTATCTCGCCGTTCCCTCTATCTGCCTATTTTTGCAGACAGTTTATGCATTGCGTATTCGTTTGTTCAATTGTTTTTGCGTACTACAGAGGAAACACTTGAGAGTTGTTACACATAGTGGTGGGTCCGCGGACTAACAGTTCCAAACACTTCCAAACATATTCGGTCCTCTATGAACACGAGGAGTTCAAGACGTTCATCGCGTAGCCTATTTCGGCTGACTTTCCTTTCATACAAATTATATTATTTGTAATTTTAATTACACGACGGTCACAGGTGACCGACGTATTGTGAATAGATAATTCTGTGTCGGTCACCGGTGACCACCACGTCATCTACTGAAGGTTTTGTGTCGATCACCGATGACCGTCGCCACGATGATTAAACAGTCCAAACCGAATTTGATCATGGCGAGGCAACCATACTGAAGTTTCTGTTTTGAACTTTTCAAACAGTTTGTTGAAACGTTTCAAGCTTCAAGCCACACGAATCACAGGATGTGGTGGGGGATATTAGTATAGACAAAGAATTAAGCCCGCAGCACACGGTGCTTGTTTTAACTCATGCAACCATGCAGTGAGTGATGCTGGCAAATAACGTTACTGCAGGCTACCCTGCAAGTTTCGTTGTTGGATTTCGGGATTGCTCCCGTGCTATTTTTCCTCCAAGTTTTCTAGTTG